TACAGCATGTATATGTAATGCACTAAGCTCAACGCTATGAACCATACAGTTAAAGAAAAAAAAAACATCATCGAAGAGCCAACTTTTAATGTTAAATCGTGAGACATTTATAACAACAGGAATTGAAAAGATAAAAATTTGAAAGAATTTACCTGTATTTAAATCGTGTCATTCTGATAATATGACTGATAGTATAGATATGAAAAGATAATTTATAATGATAAACATATTCAAAGCGGAAATGCTGTGGGTGTTCAGTGGAACTATAAGGAAGTTTTTGTTATAAAATTAAACGCCAACATATTGAATTCATAAGAGCCATGCCAATTTGTTTAAATTAAAATGCAGAGCAATTGTCCTCCAAACCTATTGAAAATATTTTGTTTTTAAAATACGATGTGAGCCGAAACTTTTTAAATGAAAAAGTGAGTTTTATTTCTATTTCAGGACAGACGGACATAAGTAATCTCACGCAATGGAATCATTTAGGACAAATAAAACTGAGATTATACAAGTATTTTGCGTATAAAAATATGAAAAAACAAGATGTGTTTGTGAAACACTAATGGCAACATAGCGAAAGTTAAGCTTTCTCCATTGCAGATCAAATATGCTGGTACCAAAAGTAAGGCTCTTTCACAAGAAAACACCTGTAGCTACACCTGTTCCAGGGTTATGATCAAGGTTAACATTTTATAAGATAGGACAAACTCCGGGTCAAGGTCAAAATGTTAAGGTTGTTGGTTTCTAAAGAGAGGCCTTGTCTCTGGCCCTTACCGTTCAAAAGTTATGGCCAAGGTAAAAGTTTGTAAAAAGTAGGTCAAACTGTCAAGGTCATAGGGTCAATATTCTTGGTATCCCATGCAAGGTCCTGTCACAAGGATTACACATGTGAAATATGAAAGTTCTAGCCCCTACTGTGCAAAAGTTATGGACAAGGTTAAAGTTTGTAAAAAGTAGGTCAAACTTCAAGGTCAAGGGATCAAGGTTCTTGATATCAAATAAAAGGTCTTGTCACAAGGATTAAATTTGTGAAGTATGAATGCTCTAGTCTTAACCTTTCAACAATTGTGGTCAATGTTGTGTTTTTAAAGTAGGTCAATATCCAAGGTCAAGGTCAAAGGGTCAAGGTTCTTGATATTCAATAAAAGATCTTTTCTCAAGAAATATATGTGTGAAGTTTGAAAGCCCTAGTTCCTACTGTTCAAAAGTTATAGCCAAGGTTAAGGTTTTTCATAGGTACGGAAATCTAAAAGGTCAAGGTCAAGGTTGTTAGTATCCAATGAAAGGTCTTTCAACAAAAAATATATATGTCAAGTATGAATGTTCTTGTATCTATTGTTCAAACGATATGGAAAAGTAAAAGTTTAAAATTTTTTTGTGAAACTGGGTCAAACTCCAAGGTCAAAAGGTCAATTTTGGTGGTACCCAAGGAAAAGTCTTGTCACAAGAAATACACATGTGAAATATGAATGTCATAGCTTTACTAATTCAAAAGGTATAGGCAAGGTTAAAGTTTTTGGGGACACACAGACAAACAGAGAGACAAAGATACAGACAGACAGCTAGACAGACGGACGGACACGACAAAAACTATATACCCCTGAAACTTCGTTTACTGGGCATAGTAATTTGATAAAATACGTACAGGGATTTATATGTATTATGATATGTATACAACAACCAATATTATTTCATTAATTGTTCAGCTTAACAGAGTGTGGATATAATCCCCTTATCAAATTATTCATTTTTATTTGATGATTTACTTTTCTTTTTCTCAAAATTAATTGGACACATTTCTATCGGATCAGTTGGTTGAAATATTTTTATGCCCCCGTAAACAAAGTTTCGGGGGTATATAGTTTTTGTCGTGCCCGTCCGTCTGCCTGTCTAGCTGTCTCTCTGTTTCTCTGTCTGTCTGTTTGTCCGCAAAAATTTTAACCTTGCCCATAACTTTTGATTTAGTGGAGCTATGAATTTCATATTTCACAAGTGTATATCTTGTGACAAGATCTTTCCTTGGGTACCACCAAATTTGATCTTTTGACCCTAACCTTGGAGTTTGACCCACTTTTACTCAAAAATTTTAAACTTTTACTTTGGCCATATCTTTTAAACAGTAAAGACCACGACATTTATACTTCACATTTGTATTGTTTTTTGAAAGACCATTCATTAGATACCAACAAACTTGACTTTTTGACCATGACCTAAGAGATTTTCGTTCTTGTGAAAAAACTTTAACCAAGGTCATAACTTTTGAACGGCAAGGGATAAGGCTTTCATTCTTCACATATGTAATCCGCGTGAAAAGATCCTTCATTGCATACAAAGAAAATTGACCCCTTGACCTTGGAGTTTGGCCCACTTTTAAAAAGCAAACCTTGACCGTTACTTTTAATTGGGTTAGTTTTAGTGCTTTCATACTTTACATATTTAATCCTTGTGACAAGATCTTCATTTGATAGCAAGACCTTTGACCCTTTGACCTTGGAGTTTGTCTTACTCTTAAACATTTTTAACCTTGGCCATAACTTCTGAACGGTAAGGGCTAGGGCTATCATACTTTACATACGTATTTTATGTGGCAAGAACTTTTATGGAATACTAACAACCTTGACCTTTTGATCTTGACCTTGGAGATTTTTGTTCTTATGGAAAAACCTTGGCCATAACTTTTCAACGATAGGGCTAGTGATCTTCTACTTCACTTATGTAATTCTTGTGAGAAGACACTTCATTGGATACCAAGAACTTTGACCCTTTGACCTTGACAATGGAGTTTGACCTACTTTTAAGAATATTTAACTTAGGCCATAAATTCTTAACGGTTAGGGATAGGGCTTCCATACTTTACATAAGTATTTGATGTGGCAAGACCTTTGATCGGATATCAATAGCCTTGACCTTTTGACCTTGGAGATTTTGTACTTATGAAAAAAACGTTAACTTTGTCATAACGTTTGAACGCATAGGGCCAGTGATCTCATACTTCACTTATGTAATCCTTGTGAGAAGACCCCTCATTGGATACCCAGAATATTGACCATTTGAGCTTGAGATTGACCCACTTTTAAAAAGCAAACCTTGACCATTACTTTCAAAGGGTTAGGCCTAGTGCTTTCATACTTTACATATTTTATCCTTGTGACAAGACCTTTCATTTGATAGCAACACCTTTGACCTTAACTTTGGAGTTTGACCTACTTTTTAAAATCTTAAACCTTGGCCATAACTTCTAAACGGTTAAGGCTAGGGCTTCCATACTTTACATATGTATTTTATGTGGCCAGACCTTTCATTGGATATTAATGACCTTGAAGACTTCTGTACTTATGAAAAACTTTAACCTTGGCCTACTTTCATATTTCACAAATTGTATTTTCAGTGAGAATACACTACTTTTGGTACCAATATATTAAATTTGCATTTAAGAAAAGTTTAGCAACTCCCTAGGGACTAAATATGTAAACTATTGATTCTGAGGTCAAAAGGTCAAAGGTCAAGGTAATAAATTTGCAAATTATGCTTAACACTTTCGTTTCCGCGCGATATCTCGAGAACCCTTTGGGCTTTTGCAATGAAATTTTACATAACAACTCCCTGTGGCCTAAGGAAGACCCTATTTATTTGAGGTCAAATGGTCAAAGTTCAAAGTCATAAATTTATACATTCTGTCTGGTGTAACACTATCCTTCCGGGCAATATTTCAAGAAGATTTTGAGCTTTTGCAATGTAATTTTATACCAAAACTCCCTAGGACCTCCCTATCCCTCTCAAAGTGTCCCGTCTCGTTTATTTTATTAGTATTTATTGTATTACTTGTCGCTATTTTTAGCACAGAGGCATGAGGAGAGTTATTACGTATAAAATAGGTTCTCGGCGAACTTTATATTCTTATTACATCTTTTAGAACTGTTTAATAAAGGTTAAATTATACACCATGCATTGTGTAAAATTTTGACAATATCGAACGTGATTATATACATTTGTGACTTTATCTTTTCATATAATTTTCGCCAGTTGAAAGCAGTTTGTGATGTAGTCCCGGGACCTTTCACATGTGCTGCGAGAGATATACCACTACAGTAGTGGTATATCTCTCGCAACACATGTGAAAGGTCCCGGGATCAAATACTTTTTTTTACTAAATGATAGTATTCAGCATGTGAAATGAAAAATTGATGAGGTCTGGCTTGTACAAACTTATGAAATCATCATTACGGTGTAATAAATATTCCATATAAAAAGAATCTTCGATACACATAATAAAGAATAAGTAATCAAATCTTTATATATATGCTTCAGTATACATGTTTACATTTAATAATTCTACAAATTTAGTCAGGGGGCATCCAACCCCCCAACCCCCCTCCCCCAACTGCGCATGGTTTACTTTTTCCCTAAGCGGGGTACACAAGTTCTCTGAATTAGCTTGTTTGGTATAAGGTGTAATGCAAATGAAAAAAAATGACCATATCAATCATTCTTATGTCATATAATGACAGTTCTTTGTAAAATAGAACTGAATCAAATAATTTGTTTTTCAATCTTGGAAAAAACAAATATCGAAATCACCCTCAACTGTCTCAGCAGTTTCTAACTTAGATAATTTTTTTCTAACTTGAAAACGAGAGCATGGTTAAATGATCATATTTATAGAGTAGTAACATGAAATGTTTACATTCAGCTGTAGTTGATACCGCAGTTTTTACCTGTTTTAGTCACGCAAAAACGTGAAAATAGCACCACACATCTACTAGCTCACTGAGCATTTAGGTAAAATTTTAACCTTAAAAAAATCCTTTACAACAATAAGTGCGTCAGGACAGGGGTTAATTTTCAAAGACCTATATTTAATACTTTTTGTTTGATATATTGTGCACGTTAATTTTAATACCGCGAACATTCACGAATCGATGCCTCGTCATCTTTTCGTATGTGTTTGACATCAATCAAAGCCTCAGCTAAACTAATTATACCATAAACACTTGAAACGCAGTACAACTTACGATATACAGGTCATGAAAGGAAAACCTTCAGAAATCACTTTAAGAGTACCTAATTGTGTCACTTTGTTTTGCCGTGGTATCCGACAAGATTTTCTAATAGCTGTGATAAGCTCTTCTTGTCAACAACGCAATCTCCTAGTAAATGCTTTAAATTTTAAGGTTTGGAACAGGAAGTTTAATGCATGCAGGGAAATAAAAGAAATACACCGAGTGACTCAATACTCATCGATACCGGATATGGTGAAATCATTCTACAATATGTTTCCGGGAGTACAATTTGATCTTCCCAATAATTTTAGATTGTTACCAATTAGTTTAATATCAAGTGACACAGCCCTTTGGAGCCCCTTCAATTTGTAAATAAAACTCGCGTAAATGATATCAGAAATCCATGTCTTCCATTTAACCTACACTAAATAACTGAGTGTCGTGTAACGTAATTGTAAGTGTAAAAAATAGTGATATTGACAAAACCGCCAAAGGTATTTATCACTTTCCTCGCTTTTGGTGCAATATGGTGGAATATAAATTAACGTATTTTGACATTCGTGGACGAGCAGAAATTTCACGCTTGGTGTTTGCCGCAGCTGATGTGTGTTATATTGATGACAGAATTAAACGTGAAGAATGGCCAGCGCTTAAACCAAGTAAGATAAAAATCATCTTCAAATATTAGATGTAAATTTATTTATATTATTATTATTTTAATTGTTAAATAGTTGCTCTTTTACTATATTTCATTACTAATTTCTTTAACCATGTATAAAAGAAATTAAAAAAGAATACTCATTTAACAAATTTATTTTTATTTTCTTTAATGTACAGTAAACGTACAATGTGCCTTATCTAATGTTATCGTTCTGAATATCCAATTTCTATTACAAAGATTTTTATTACATAATTAATGTTGAATAAAATGATTTGTACGTTACATCTTATAGTATATAAATGGTGCCTGTTTTGGAGGGTAACAGTTTCAATTGACACCCCAAGGAAAACCATTGTCAACCGACACGTCAGCGGAGGTTAACAATGGTTTTCCGAGGGGTATCAATTTGAACTGTTACCCTCCAAAACAGGCACCATTTATTTTATTATACTGAATGTCTTCTTGATTTACTATGTCAGCAATACAAATCGTCGATCACCTTTTCGTTCACGTTTAGAAAGCTTTCAAACTCCCCGCTACTTCGGAAAAGATTTACTGACCTCTGTATTGTTTATTTGATACTCTACGAGTCCTTTATCATCTAAAGTTTTTCGTCTGTCGTTTGTTGTTTTCAAGTAAGCTACATCGGACGCAAGCTTCTATTGACGTCAAGTTTATTCCGGTTCTTTCAAACGCGCAACTGACGTTTGAATAATTCTACGGTGAACCGTACGCGCATAATTTCCACGCATGTGGCATTGCCGTTGTGTTACCCATTGTCACGTGTGTTGCTAAGGCTGAGGGTAATAGAACAGATTGTTAACTGCGTCTAAACCAATCAGATTTTAGTATTTAACATGAAAGTATAATAATAATAGATGTTCACAGTTTACTGAGTTTAGTTTGCTATAGATTAACAAACTGTGCTTTCATATATATATTTTTCACGACTTTATTATATTGATATCCTTGACAGACTGTTAACAGAAAAATAATACATTTCCATTATTGATGGGTTTTTTTTTGGTGATCAATTATTAAAATATTCGACGTTTTTGTTCTGGTTGCTGACTCTCTTTTGTACACCTGTCTTCTGATCGATGTCAAATGAATGACGATCTATATAAAGTTCTGTTTTACAAAATGAAACAGAATAAAAAATAAGTATTTTAATGTAACCGATGTACGTAATCGTTTATCAATTGTCTCTGAGTCAGTTTTATGTGCTGCCTGCACATGTAAAGATGAGGAAGGGCTGGTGTTAATAATCTAACAATATTCTTTTCTGTTTGAGTAAAGTTCAACCTTCCTACTGTGTGACAAATAATGATAATTTTTTGCGGTCTTTTATCGAGGAAGATTAACCCTCCTATAAACAGCACTGGTGACACTTAACTTTAACAGAGATTCCACAAGCTTGGCAACACTATCTTATTTATCCATTTCATTCTAATACTCGTGTTTGATAAGAAAATAACTCATTTTGCACATGCACTGTATGATTGTAAATCAATGCTCATTAATAATTCAGTTTGAAGGCTCGTCTTAATATGAATTCTTTGGATATATTTTCGTAATTTGTCAATCAAACTACTTGTGTTGCTTTAATGTAATAATCAATGGTTGGGCGCTGATCCAGGGAGTTTACAATGGAGGAAGGTAGTCATACATACCAATCCTTTAAGACATGAATATCATGGCGAGTGTGGTAATGTTGGTCAACACGTAGTTACTTCCTCTGAGGATTGTTCATCCTATTTCGTGCAAAGGTGATGGAGGATTGAAATGGGTGTATTAGGTGCGGGGGTTGGTGGGTTGGGTTGGGGGTCTTTTAACCCCTAAAAAGAATTACTGTATAAATCTAAATAAATTTAAAAATTTGAATAAACTAATGTAAAGCACAAGAATGCATGATGAACCTTAAATTGTTTTACTTTGTAAAATATTCTTTTATATTAATGTATATAACATTGATCATTTCTATTACAGAAGCAGTAACAATTTGAATAATCATGATTGTAAACAGCTTTTTATTTTGATTCTTGTTATTTTCTTTTATAAAGATACACCCCAGGGACATTTGCCGCTTCTAACGATAGATGGAAAAGTCACATTACCTCAGAGTTTAGCAATTGCAAGGTTTTTGGCAAAAGAATTCGGTAAGCTTTTCTTTCTTTAAATTTTGAAGGCTTTCAATAATGCTCTGTAAAAATTATTAATACATTTAGTTCTCAAATGATTTCGTCTAAATAACTTTTACTTATATCATTCAAAGGCATTTGTGGAAAGAATAATCTTGAAAATGCGGAATGTGACGTAATCGTGCAGACGACAGAAGATTTAAGGGCAGAGTGGGTCAAGGTTTTTCGAGAACAAGATGAGGCAAAAAAGGTACACATTTGAAAATTGCCTTCACAAAAGCAAAATGCAATGAAAAGGATTATTTATTTTTTTAAATATTTCGAGCAATATTTTCAAAAACGCTTTCAGCTTTTTCCGTATTGTTAAAAAAATATAAGGAGGAGAAAACGTACCGGTATATTAAAGAAAAGCAGCATATGAAATCATATTGAATTCCTGAATTATAGGCAGACTTACAGAAAAAGCTTATAGAAGAGATAGTACCTAAATACTGGACGATTTTCCAAAATACACTTTCTAAAAACTCAACAGGTTACATGGTTGGAGACGGTGTAAGTTTACAATATCATCGTTATTTTATTACTATATAAGAAAAACCATGCATAATTGTCTTAAACTTTTTTTTTACTGATTTAACCATTTTTTATTTGTAATTTAGTTAAAAGAGATCTATTTTATTTTTCATTGTGTTATAGCTGACACTAGGTGACCTTGCTGTGTATGACGTCATGGAGATTCATACGCGTGACTATCCAGATCTTATCAAGGGATTTCCTCAACTAGAGGCACATAGACAGCGAGTGGCAGAAACATCAAACATAAGAAAATACTTAGAAAAGAGACCAGTCACTCTTTACTAGTATAAATCTTAAAGATTTTTCATAATATCAACGTTTAATTTATACAGCACATCTACAATAATTATTAAAGATTATGTACTTTTATAAATCATCACTTGAAAACACAAAATACATGTAAATTACGCCGTTATACATGAAAAATGTACACCAAAATGTCAAATAAAAAGAAATATCGATATATTGTAGCTGTGTGTCTACTTGTTATATTGCATCTTTCAAAAATTGTTGTTTTTCTACACTCTATATATAAATAGGTTTCTATTTGAAAAAAAAAAATCTAAATTATTTATTTCTTTAAAAGTGTAAATACACCCCTGTAATCTTTTACTTTGTTTCTTTTTATTATTGGACACATGATAATTTCAACATTTAACGTAGGCTTACAATGAAAACTTTTGTTCAACGTCATAAAATTTCAATAAAATAAGTAACGAAAACTGTATTTTATTCAAACTTCTCGCTGTGGTCAGGTGAAGCAAACAAATAGCAAAGGAATTTTTTTTGCTAGTAATGCCAATTCAAAGTTAAAACTAAAATCTGTTGGTTATCAATATTTTTATTGTGAAAAAAAGTTTTATTTTTTATTATAAAGTTCATTGCCTTTAATTTTTATAATTTATTATGCAACAACTTAAAATTTAAAATTCTGTTTCTGGTCTTGATTTGAGATATTCCTGAATTTTGGGTAGACTTTCAATCCTCTTCCTTAAAGCTTCCAGTTTGTCTGTTAACTTCAGCCCAAATTTATCAAAAGCATCCAAGGACCTTAGAAACGTCAGATCAGCCAGGGTCAGCTGTATATCAGAGAAACAAAGATATTATTAAACAGTGTCGCATAAAGATTTAAAACAAACAAAAATATAAAATCCGTGATGGCGATGGATAAAATACTTCTCTTCTGATCAAATAATTACTTTTTATCAAAATTAAATACGTCAAGAATGATAATTTATATGATCTGTACAGTAGGGAACTAACCAAAACTTTCATTTGAAAACATATTTAAGATTATGTTCCATAGAAAAAGTTAAGGATATATATTTTCGTGAGAGATAATCAGGTTTTTAAATTTAAACCCACCAAGCAGGAAAAAAGTATTTTAAAATATTCAATATCAAAACCTGACCGGTAGGTGCTTTTTTGCTTAAAATATAAACGCTTCCATTTTTGCTCAAAATAGTCGTTAATTAATTAGTTAATGTATCCAAAGATTGTCTATACATTTTATATATATGATATAACAGATATAACATTTGCTTTTTACCGATGGTCCCACTAAAAACCCGTTACCCCCTCCGTTCAGTGACAAGCGATCTTCTATTCTTTTCATATACACGGGAACTTGTTCATGGAATTTCTTCATTAACTCTGCCTACAAGATATAGTAAAAGTCATAATGTATAGAAACTAACACATTGTCAATGTTATGCTTAACACTAAAAATTTATTTATCATGTACGTACATAGAATTTCAACGTTAAAATGATGAAGTTATACAATGCATCAATTTTCATCTAAAGTCTGTACAATGCTTCATCTGATTAATACAATGTGAATTTATTTTCCTTCTCGCGTTCTTAGTTCTACGGGAGACAACTCCAATAGCTGTCATCTTAATTGTTGTAAACACATTTATTTATCGTTTACAGCGGTAAAAATGTAACAGTCCTACCCCGAGCTTACTTCGGATCGTGGGCGAGACAATGATTGCATTATATTACTAAAAATGACCTATAAAGAGACTATACCTTTTTGGCTTCGTCTTTTTCAAACATTACAGGTCGGAGACTCTCAAAGAAATCATTGACTGTTTCACATATCACGTCCACACAACAACTTTCCATGTTCGTTTTGCCATAAAGTCCTAAAAAGGATAAACATATTTTAAGAATATTTTAAGGATGGGATGGGATGCACCATCATGAGTCTTAAGAGTTAATTAATATATAAAAAGTTAACCTTTATGTCAGAACAATAAGGGGGACTTTTTCTTTATATCCTACTTGCATTTGTAAATTTTATAATACTTTCTATCTAAAAGCAGTTCTACAAGGCAAATTCGGACGAGTGAGGGACCAGCTGTCACTTCTATATATATGCTGTTCAGTGGAACTGGGCGGGAATTGGATTTGGGACTATATTAATATATACTGTGTAAAAATAATACATCACAGTGACTTACCAAACTCCCTAGCCAAGAAGCGCTCTATAGCTCTACTCTGAGGAATCTTTTTACCGTCAATCTCCAACACAGGCATGGTCTCTTGAGGCATTGCTACAAAATAACATTCACATTTAATATAACTGAATTTGAAAAAAAAACAACCTGATTTTGAATCATGAAATAGTCCACATTTATTATTCCCTTGCATCTGTTCTGCTAAAAGCGCCCGGTATTACATCCATTAAATTGATTTTGTTTTACTTCTTGGGGAAAGAGGTGGGGTGGGTGGTGATCAAATCTTTCTCAAAAGAGAATTTTTTTTGTAATGCTGGGTGATTTTTCTTAAAAATAACAATTTAAGTTAGGGACTATTTGTCATACTGCTCTATTGAACTGTCAAACTATATGTTCATCCATATACAGATATTTTTTGTGGATAATTTATTCAAATATTTTAAAACATAGATACATTTATAGAAACATTTATATTATAGATATAGATTTAAAGATTTCCCTTTCAGAAATCAGATTTAATTACTGTGATGTGATTCTTCTAGACAAATATTTTGGCGGGAAAAATAAAAAAAAATCCCTTCGCCATTTTGTTTCCCTTTTATATTCATAGTATATTGCTGTACATCGATTCACAGTTCATGAATACATTTTCAATACAAACTAATCCATGCCATAATTTAAAACCCACGACACAAATATGCGAGAAACACCCTTTTACAAATATTTGAAACCACATGTAGATTCAATAAAGCGAAACGTATTGATATCCTGAACTTTAAATTAAATATTAGCTTGTTCAACATTTGCATATGGTTAGTTTAATGGTTTTTATCAAAGAACAATTTGCTCCACCATTCTGTGGCTAATTGAAAATCATAATTCTTAACATTCCATCAGAAAATACTATTGTTTTGAAGAGTATCGCAAAATATCGGTCATGTGAAGGTTAAAGAGAAACTGGCGCGGATCAAAACCCCCTTCTATCGTATAGATGAAGCTTGTATAAATATAAGTAGACTAGGATCCTTCATCATACGAATCAGGAGGTGCAATGCCGCCTTTAAGTTAAAGTTCAAACATCATTTTGAAAATGCAAAAGATGACAGTTTTCTCGTTTTAAAGAAAATTTGATACATCAAACATGTTATTTCGATGCCCCTTTTCATGCTGAGCCTTACATAAAACTCATTTATAAACTCACTTGGTTTTGTTTTGGGCCAATCCGGACCTTGTATCCGAATATCCTCATATTTTATCCCGGAGGCGGCAAAAATCAAACGGCTGACTTCAGCTCTCCCCTTTGCATTGAAATAATAGAGCTTATATGTACTAGGCATCTTATTCTTTAGTGTCGTCTGTCGAGCTCTATATCTGATTCAAAATGGCGAGTGGTGATGTTTGTGGTCGCATTTAAATCTGAATGTTTTATTGAGAGTGTGGCAATACCAGGGTCGGGATATGGGACATCCGATCACGATTGTTTTCCTACTTCCAAGTTACTCAAATATTCGCTAATCATGGTAGTTTACTCCAAAGCGATTGCTTGTTCTATAACTTAAAAGCTACTCTTTGTAAACGAAGAGTCCTGGGATTCATTACTCGGCAAAATTCCGTTACAGTTCTTCTTGATCTTCCAAATAAATTGAAAATTTGAAAAGATCGATACAGTAGTAGCGCGAGGTTAACAAAGTCTACATTAATATTATTTGTAAATATCGATTAATTCTTCTCGGTTACATATTAAAGCAACACCCTATATTTCGTGTCTAAAATTATTTAATTTTTAAGCTTTTTAATTTAGAAAAATTATAATTCTTACTGAAGTATCAGTGACAGAGCTTATATCTTAAATTAACGATTTAATTTTTGTTTCAATTTTGGCTATAATTGATTATTTCGTCAAAAAAAGGCAGATAGGGATGGAAAGAGATCTTATTTCTTTACAACAAATTACAAGCACCAAAATTCATTGTTTATTGGCGTGGCACTGTATTTATTATTATATCTCAATACCATTGATAATGGTATTGAGTAAAATTCTAAACTAAAGAGGAAAACTCTCGATAGCAAGAGTTGTCTTTCATTGGCTAAAATGAAGAGAAATAACACAAAAAGCCAAGGCAATTATTCTATTAAATTGAATCATTGGCTATCTGTAGTGGTGTTTTACCGGATGAAACAGACGGAAAATAAAATAAATGCTTATATTCAATTGAGTTAAATGTATTTTTTGTGTGTAAAGATGACAACTAGAGTACTAGAGGATCTACAGAATTATTGTTTTTCCTAGATAGGGGAAAATGGCAACATTTTTTTTTTTTGAAAAATAATAATTTACAAGTAAAACTATCTTAGGCATCCCTTCTTGTAAAAAGGAAAAAAAAGAAAGAAAATACGTATTGCAAAATTTAAAATAAAACTTAATCAATATTTTTTCAGTGAAATGGGTGGACTCTCTATAGCTTTGGATATATATTACCATTATTTGCCTTTTATGTTTATATGAGCAATCTAACGGGTCGAATCCAAGAAGTTGATATATATCCATGTCAATCCTTAAAGAAATGCATCGGGGTAGTACATGAGGTAACACGTATCATCGTACACTTTTGGATTCCTTTGGGTTGTATATCTTAAATAGAAACGATTTTCCCACTTTTTCTTGCTAAAATGGTGCAGGACTGGAATAGGGAAGGTGCTGTTGGGTTGACCATGTTAAGGAACATAGATTATTTGATAAGAGGTTTGACTCTCACGCGGACAAGGGGCTGCTATTTGGCTTTTGAAATTGTCGAGTTTAAAACATTTGTTGTTGCTATAGATTTTCACTGCATGCTGATATTTACTGAAAATACGACATAGAATATATGTCTTTTAATTTGGAAAATCATACATCGAAACAAAAATTAATGAGAATAAAAGAATAATGAAAATAAAACTCATTCTTAATATAATTAAATGAGCTTGCATAGGCAGTAACACAGGAACTTGTTTCTGTAGATGAAGATAACCTATAGTTGTGTCATTATCAGGGTATTAATCTCTGATTTGAAAAAAATACAGAACAAGCTCCTGTGAGCAGCAACTATAAAGTTTTCTTGAAAGATTTTGAAATAAGGACAGACATGCAAAAGAAAGTTTTAAAAACGAGATTGAACCTAAATACAATGTACATGTACGGGTCAATTTTCCAAAATACACTTTCTAGAAACTCTACAGGTTACATGACTGGAGGCAGTGTATGTTCATAATTATAAATGATATAAAGGCATTTAAGAAAAATAACAAAAACTGTTTTTATAACGTACATTTTAAAACTCTTTAACCATCTTTCTTACTAAATACTTATACTGTTTCATTATATTAAATGATGAAATATTTAGATAACGGATTGAAACGGAAATTGATTTTTGTGATTTAGTTTCGTATAAAACGTTAGACGTACGTCTTGTTAAATATCTTAAACACTAAAAAATATTAATTTTATGATCATACAAGTAGTTTGAAACTGCCGATGAACTAGTACTGGGACTGCACTGAGGAATACAAGCTGCCTTATAGAAAGCTTAGGAGACCTCTATGGTAACGGAGTGAGTAAACCTTAGCTTGCGTTTTCTCCTATACTATTCCATTACCTGAAAAGGACAGACGGTTGCGGGGAAGGGACAGCTAAGTATTTCTTAGTAAGCCAACGTACATAAGGTCTGAATAAGGCAGTTACTTGGTTTGGCAGAGAGGTGGCATAGCACAGAGAAAGGTGGGGGAAGTGCCAGGAAATAGCAGTACTTTTAGAGTGGCAGGTCCAGAGAAATTCATTGCGGGAGACACCCATTGACCACAGTTAGTGGTTGTCCAATCAAGAAGAAACCCATTGTACTATTGTTAAATATATAATTGCATGTATATATTTGATTTGGTCAACAAAAATCTGAGTTAACAGGTTAACGAACCTAAGTGTAACGCCTCGGTGATGCAAGACATATCACCACACACCAAGCTCGGCCGCGTTGCACGTTACAGGATAGTATTCATGCTCAAAGTCCCTTCAAAGAATGTAAATCAGAAGGGATGAAACATATGGAGATAACGAACAGTATTCAAGTTCAAAAATCTAAAAAAAAGAATACAAAATAGGAGCAGAGCAAACACGCATCTCCAAAACATCAGAGGTGGGATCAGGTGCCATATAGGAGTGAGTATCCCCTGCCGACCGGTCACACTCACCTTGCGCTCCTTGTCATGATCGGGACATAACTGGAAAATCCTCAGTCAATTCAGTGTATAAATAATGGACTAACAATTAGTATGATAAACGTCAGTCAGCATTTGACTCAGTGATAAATTGTGTTTTCTGACAAGGTCATCGTATCGACAATAGAACTTACGAAATGATGACTTTAAACGAGAGTGCTGATATTCTTGCTTCATTTACTTGTTTGTCAATAATTTACCTCGTTTTAGAATGTGTACACACGCTGAGCATGCTTTTGCCTATCAAATTAACTGAGATAATATGAAGTTCATGAACTCTGTATGCAAGTGACGAAGGTATATTCAATTTGCTGCATAAGTAGGGGAAGCTGTCGCCTATGTATTATTTTTTTTACCAGATAAATATTCTAAAACATTTCCAAATTCATAATAGATCAAAATTCATATGTATGGAGCAAACTTTGCAACTGATGAGATAAATGCAGTTGTCAGTAGACAGGACAAATTCCCCAGTATTTTGTAGCTGCGGTCTTTAACGGGGCTGTTAAAACTGTCTGCGTCAGTGCTGTGCTTACAAAGAAGACATCTTCTGTCAGAGCAAATTTTAAAGCCCCCGTTAGGTAACGGGTTGTACAATCTGGTTCTTACTACCATGTCCTTTAGGTTCCTTGGGCGTCTGTATGCAGCCAAGGGGGATTCCTTAAAGACCTCTGCCATTCGTTTGTTTGAATGGAGAATTGGTAGGTTCTTTTGAAGGATACCGCTAGGGTTCTTAAGGACGGGATGGTATGTGATTACCAGAGGGACCCTGCCGCTATTGTCTTTCTCCTTCTAGCGTTATAGGCTTTGCCTGTCATGTCCCGCCATCTCATCAATAGCAGTTTGTACGGTTCGGGGATTGTAGCCTCTCTTCCATAAGTGGAACTTAAGAAGACCACTTTGCTCCTGATATAAGGTAGGGGACGAACAGATGCGTCGAATTCTGGTGGTTAAACCATTAGGCACTACCTTAAAAGTGTGTGAGGGATGACAGCTAGTGGGCATAAGATATAGGTGGGAGTTTGTGGGTTTGGTGTGGAGAGTGAACTCGATTTCATCATCAATCAGGGTAGATGTAGTATCTAAGAATACGTTTTTCGAATTAGATACGTCTACTGTAAATTTGATAGACAGATGAAAGGTGAAACGTAATGAATGCCTCGAGGCTGTCGATTCCATTCACTTCATCTCTATATCGTCAATGAAATGCAACCAGCTTTGGGGCCTATATGGCATATTGAAGTTTAAGGAAAATACTGATTGTTTTAGCTACATTTTCTTCTGTTAAAGGCGGGGGTTTAAAAAGCCTATGATTTTCAATATCCATAATCACAGATCCGAGCCTATATTCTTGTGTCGAGGAATCAGAAAATGGGTTTTTCTTGAACTTTTCAAGAAGACTATTTAAAAGTTTCAAAGGGACAGTGTAAGGTTTGGTGCGAATATGATGTAGACCTAACTGTTGATTTACATGAGGCAGTATGAATCAAATTAAAGGTTTATTGTAAGACCGATGCCCATCACTACGGTTATGCCTCTAGTCCCATCACATTTACAATGTTGCACTGTGGACTGTAAAGATTTTTAACACTACCGACATTGTCATTACATTCTAAAGGAAAGGCTGTCCTCAGTTTTCTAATTCAAAATTCAAATTTTCAACACATTTTTTTGGCTTTGCAACAGATAAGAATTTTTAAAGTCGCAAAACTTACTAGCATTCTAAATTGGTTCTTCTGACTAATGAATTGTATTAAGGTGGTAAATGAAGGATGCCGACCTCATTATTGAAAAAAATCAAATAAACTCTCAATCAGAAAATGAAATGGAAAAATATTTTTTCTTTCTACCTGTGTCTATAGTAAAAATATTCAAAGTTGTAATTTCATTGTGTTATATTTGTAGAACACGTTTACTTTTTAGGCGGAAGCCGCCTTTTGCATTTGCTTTGTTGACCTTTCGACCTCTCAAGATGTTTGCCCCGTTTCGTGGTACTCCAAACGGATGTATCTTAAACTAAGGGCATACAACCCGCTAAATTATATTCTACCCCCTTCCCAATCTTTATCGTTATTATCATATCAAAAAGCGTGTGTTATGGCGAATTTATTTTAACAATTTATTTTGATTAATGTAAAAAAGTCCAATAAAAATAACAGCCTAACAATAGAACGAAAAGTTACTTTAGTACTCCTGATACGTTTCACGTTTGAGAGAAGAACGAACGACAACTCTGTATGTCTAAAACATAAACAAATCGGGATCAACATTTGATTAGCACGGG